GCGCGGCGCCATTAAAGGTCGCGATCGGCGCCCGAATTGGGCCAATTCGTCATCACCTTGTCTGCTCGAGGCAGCTCGCCTTGAGTCACGAGGTCGCTCCAGGCCGCGGCCACCGTTCCAATTTGTCAGCACGAGCGGCGACGCGGCCTCCCGGCGCGGCTGAAACGCCGGCATTGACATTTCATTATCTGCCCGGAGCCAAAAAAGGCCTCGCGGAGGTTGCGGAACCGATGCGACGGAGCGGCCGCAAAAGCCCGCCGCGGCCGGGGACGATGTGCGGACGAGCGGCGATTACGGGACACCGCCGGCTGGGGAATGTTTTATTTCCGGGAAGGTGACACTCACTGGGTGAGAAAGAACGACGTATAGAAAGCGTCGACTTTGAGCGCGCTTCATTCAAGTCGACAAATACGGAATATACTTATATATATTATTTATATATACTAATACTTACAGCCCACCCAAAAAGGGTCAATGTAGCCCAAGCTACATAGCGCCTTTGCGGCTATCGAGAGGTGGATTAGGTCACTAAACTCCGCCCTGAACTCGCCCACCGCCCTGCGTTTTCACAGAATACGGGCAAGGGCCGAATTTGAGTTGCACGGTGACCACTTTTGTGTCTGCGTGTAAGGACACATTGGAGATCGGCTCTGACATTTCACATCATCTGCTAGCATGAAGTTAGCAAGATGAAATGAAGCGCGTCGGTGTTCGACTGTGCAAGACACGCGTCAATGCGCGAGAAAACATCCGATAGAAATGACAAGGCAAGTTCATCGACGCCCGCTTCTTTGGTCATCTTTCGAAAAGGTTTGTTCGACTTTTCCCTTTAAATGTGTGTCGGACTACGTTTCAAAAGATTTTTCATGGTCTCTCCACGTCAGCGACTCGTCATCATTTTGGAAGTCGCTCTCCCAAGGAAGCGCTTCAGTCTTTGCAAAAGAATATGCGTTGACAAGCACGGCTAAATCATCATCATCCAAAATGTTTTTCACAAGTCATCCCGCCCCCCGGCCCCCCCCCTTAAAGACCAGAGTGAATCGCAGCAATTTTCCCTCGGGAATAATTGCGAAAGCTGGCGCCGCCGCAGCTCCATCTGGACCCGCGTATGTACGAGTAAGTGAGCGGGCTCCGATGGGCGCCGCGTTGGAAATTGATCATCTTCTATTCTCCTCTCACAAAAATAAACATAATGCGCCGATTGATCCAGTCGTCATCTTGTCAGCATTTGCAGCCCGCACAAAGGAGACGGGCGTGTTTCTGGGACCACCTTGCTGGATGAGGCATCGATCGCCGGCCCCCTTTTTGTTCAAAGTGATGCCAATCATTTCCTCAGAGCGAGGTGGGGACCTTTCAACAACACCGAGGGGCTGGACAAGCGCTCGGAGACAACTTTTGAAATCCTCCACCGGATTTGGATCATATTTGGATTTCGGGGTGGGGGGATGATGAGCTCTGCTATTTGAATGGTCATCCGCGCGTCCCGTGCGAGAGCGCGGCCGGCGGCCGTCCGTTCGCCGTCCCTCCGCGGAAAGCGCCCGCCCGCAGACCCGCCCCGGAGCGTCTGCTCGGCTCCGCCTGGGTACATTTTTTTTTGCGTCTGAAAGAGCAGCGAGTCAATGAATCTGGATAATGCGAAAGCCGGGCCGCATAACTCACGCTGATAGTCCTTACATTGTGCCAGGAGGCAATAAATCTGGGATGGGGGGGCGGGGTGGGGGTATTGGAGGCATGAATTTGCAACAGCAGTCAGTCTGGCTTGTGCCCCCGCTCGCTTGATGCACATTTTATCGCCCAAACACACCTCCGCCTTGCAAACAGAGGAATAAAGGCAATGGGCCGCAACGCCATCTCGTCAATGATGTTCGACTAAGTGCAGGGGGATCGAATGGCGCCGTTGTTTTTGTTCGACTGTGTGTCCTAATCCTCGGGGGTGGGGGGCGACGGGGCTCGACGGGTAGGCTGCATATTTGGCCTCGGTTGCTCCCGAAGCCGCGTCGTCAGCGGCCGAACCGGGAGTCCGTGCGCTGCGCTTTGAGAGCCTCGTAGGTGGAACAGCGAAAGCCGTCATCGCAAGTCATCATGTGCTAAACTATCAATTGGGTGCGACGCAACGCCACTCCGTCATGTTTATTCACGAAACGCGACAGTGAGACGGACGGCTACATTTGTGTGGTGTCATCATAGCGATGGACGGATGGATGAAAGACCGCGATGAGGGGCGGATGGGTGGACGAACGATAGCTCGGGTTGGGTTCAACGATTGCGTCACGAATCGCGCAAATGGACGAGACGCGGTCCGCCCACGGAATCGTAATACACGATGCAAAAGTCAAGCGAGAGATAACGCGGCGGCCCCACCGCAAACTGCACATGTTGTTGTTCGGGTTTGGATGTGACCCCCAATAGCGCGGCAGCAGGAAGGTCTAGCGGAAGCCGACACTTGGCGGAGTTTATTGAAGAGTTTTTGCAAAGTCACTCCGGGAGAAAAGTGGGACTTACGCTCAGGGGGAAGCGCGAGGAGTCCACGGGGGGAACGTCCACGCAGGAAACCAGAAACGGCAGGCGGTGCCAACGGAGCTCACTGAAGTGGTGACGGCACCGACGTGCACCGAGGAGCGCTTTGGGAGAGCCGACTTGGACCAGTCCAAGCCGGCAGGTTGGCAACAGGTGGCTCAGGTGCGAGGCGGGAGGCTGCCTGGCTGGCCCCGCCCTCACACGTGACGATACGCATTGACGCCGTGTGAAAAAGGACGACCGTTGTTACTGCAGACCGAGCTGTTGACGACGCGTTATCGGAGCCTTTTTCTGCCCCCTGGTGGCCACGTGGACGCACCCGCAGGAGCAGCACCGTGGCCATTGAGTTCAAGCATGAAAACGTGTGACGCAAAAACGGTTTCAAAATTCACATTCAATTTGCAGCTCAGGATTTTTATTTTATTTTATTTTTTTTTGAACACAGCACACAACGTGCCGCTATAATTTCTCTGGTGGTATTTTCGGGCGCCAGATTGCAACGAGGGAAAGATGCAAAAGAGTGGAGAGAATTGAGTATGTTGAGGGAAAGAAGTGCACAGGATTTGGAATCTAATGTTTATCCCCCCCATTCTCTCTCTCTCTCTCTCTCTCGCTCGCTCGCTCGACCTCCCCCCTTTGCACGCGCAGTCACCACGCTCGCCGGTCCACCTGCAGCCAGCCTCGCGGATGCTGTATTGAGCGTCCGCGCGCGCGCGCACCAAACCGGAGAGTAGGAAGGCGATTTTGTGCGTGCGCGTGTGCGCGTGTGCGCGTGTGTGTGCGCGTCGCGGAACACCCGTTTAGACCTTGAGGAGCGCCGGAGCCGGCTGGATCAAATTCGCTCATCCGCGTACGCGGCGTTCGCGCGCGCTTTGAAGTTCCGCAAGGGGCGCGAGAGCGCGCGCGCGCCAAAAGCCAGCAGGTCACAAATGTGGACGCGGATGCGGTGAGCCACTTGGCGGAGCGGAGTGGCGATTTTGTTTTTTTTCTTTTCCCCGATTCGAGTCGAATCTGAAGCACATTTTTTTTTGGGGACAGGGTGGGCGAAAAGGTGGAAAGGAAAAAAATGCATCGACGTGTGCTGCAACGGCGAGTGCGAGAGGAGGCTTTGGCCACGATGCCACTTTGGTCCTGATGCGCAATTCCTAAGTGCTCTTTTTTTTGGCTTCCGTTTTTTTCTTTTTTTTTTCCCCCACACTAAAAAGGGAAAAAAAAAGTGGATCGGGTGGACTTTCCAAGCATGCGGCGCACTTGGCGGTTTGGGACTACTTTGGAATACTGGACGCGGACGCTTGCGTGTCTCCTATGGATTCCATACTCGTGCGGGATGCCTCACGTCATCCGAATAGGTGAGTCGGACTTTTCTTGAAGCGATCGGTCAACCGGATCGCTCAGTCAAGATTATTCTGTCGCCACACGTCGACTCGGAAGCAACAGGATGTCATAAAGCGGGGCAACGTGCGGGTGGCGAGGAAGTTAACACCCCCCCCGTCACAAGAGTTCGGGTGTAGGGAATCGAACGCGCGGCTGGCCAACTCCAAACATCCGCCAGCGGGTCATTTTTTTGCGCGTCCCGTACCGGCAATCGCTCAACGACGCGCTACAAAGTGAGCATCGGCGGGGAGCGATGCGCGTTGTTTTTCCGCGTCCCCCCACTCCCCCGGTGCCAAAATGGTGGTCGACGTCGTTTTGGGGCCGGGGCCATTTTTTTGGACAAGTGGCAAATGGCCTTTACATACTGAGTGAGAGCGGAAGCTTCAAAATGGCTCTTTTTGTGTCCCCGGAAGTATTCAAATCCTCTCCCAAATATGCCAAAATTAGTGATTTGAGCCTCAGTTGAATCATGAATTGAAAATTAAAAAAAAAAAAAAAAAAAAAGGTCCCAAAGGAGATCGTCACAAATGTGCAACCGGGGGGAGGTATGTCAATGAATCTCCCTATTTTGATTCGGCTTTTGCAAAATCTCATTGAAAAAAAAAGTTGAGTTGGAACAGGCCCAACGTACGGCTCATTTCCATACATACTGCCCCTGCATCATTGATCAGATGGAAAATGATCCTGCATGAAAACAAAAAAAGAAGAAAAAAAAAAAAAAGCACGGTGCGCATCATGTCGCCGTTACACAGCACAAATGCACGGGAGATGATTGAATTACAGTATTATTCTCTTTTTTTTTTTCTCTTCCCGAGGGTGATGGTGGCAAAAAGCTGGAAAATGACTTGACAGACGAGTTGTATATATTTTTTTTTTAAAAAAAAAAAAAACAAAAGATCAATGTCAAGGTGCTGAGGCAAATGTACCTTGAAGTGTCACACTCACACAATTGCTTTTTATAGACTGTCATCATTGCATCGGTGCACACGGGGTGTGTGTGTGTGTGTGTGTGTGTGTGTGTGAGACAGAGTGAGAAGGTTGCGGAACGTGTTCAATGTAAAATTCAAGTGTTGAGAAAAACAACCCCAAAAAAAAAAAAAAAAACCCCAAATGGATTCACAGTGTGCAGCTTGGTCAGCTGGCGTGTTTCGAAAAGCATCCAGGTGGACTTTTGTGGCTCCAGATTGCTCAAAAGTGATCAATGGTTCTGATTGTTGCGGTTGATGAATTGATTCCAATATTTTGGTGAGCCGGCGTGAAAGCGCCACGCGACGAGAAACCGCGTCGACGTGTCGAAGCCGTTCCGAGTGACGTTTTTGACTGGCACGAAACAGTAGAGGGCGCTCTTTTTTGGGTGGTGGCGCCCGCCTGCACACCCCCCCCCCACCACCACCACCACCAACGTGCCATCTGGGTAATGGTGGGCATCCAAGGTGGGGTTGTCGCCATTGATTCGTCCGCTTCTGATGGAAGTGGAGGCCAGATGGCGGTTTGGTCTCGTTCTGCCGATTCCGTTTTGCGGAGAGGAGAGTGCAAAGCGCGCCCTTTCTGTTTTATCCTCTTCGCATGCTGTGCTTTTTGTTTTGTTTTGTGTTTTTTTTTGTGTGTGTGTTCCTCCGCTCACCCCAAAAATATGAGGCCCATTAAAGTAGCAGTTGGGGGGTGGGGGTCGTTTGCATTCGTTAGCAACTTGTCCGACGAGCCCCGCTAATGACGCGTCGCGGCCCTTTTTCTTTTCTCTTTCCTCCCCACCGATGAAAGTCGTTCATCACTTTGTTGTCTGGTCAGCTTTGTCACTCGGGCGCAGGATTTATCGAAGGATCAATTTGCTTTATCGGCGTCGTACTGTAAAGCGCTTCATCAGTGTCGCTCGTTCGCTGCCGAGTTGACTTCATTTCCTCGCCCGGTGTCGGCGCGGCCCGCCGGTGTTTTTTTTTTTTTCATCCGTTTCGCGCGGCCGGCCGTGGCACGGCGCTTTGCTCATATGAGCAAAAGCGTGTTCATGGCACGACCCGGCCTGGCTTGGCACTTCCCACGTTGCGACGTTAGCTTGACTCCCGGGCAAGGCTTCTGAAAATGAACACTGGTCCAAAAAAAAAATGTCATCACTTTGGGAACCCAGGTCAACTTTCTGGATTCGGATCTTGGATTTGGCACATGGGCTTTTCAGAAGAACAATAATATGACGTGTAATTGAGTAATGTTGATGAATTAAGGCTTGGGTTCAAGTCAATTTATTTGTTTCTTTTTGACTAGCATAGCTATATGCTATATATATATATATATATATATATATA